GGATATCTAGTCCTGCGTAGAGCATGCATGCACTTTGTTCAATGCCCGTGTAGTTCGCCTACGTGTTTTGCCTCCGTTGTGCTGTAGCTGCAATTCAGCACGCGTAAGCATCTCGTAGACTGAAGACCTTCTTTTTCCATCTCATTCCTCGAAGAATATGCCGGAAGTTCTCACTTCCATACCGATGCCAGGCATTCTGCTAGTACAGCAAAATGCAATTTCTAGTAGTTCAGCATACCGTCAAAGGCAGGCAATCTGGGCACAAATGCTGGAAGACTCACAGCGGCAACTGCGGGAAAGAACAGAAGGATAGGGTGCAATTCATTTCCAGCGGCAGAGGAAGAAGCCTCAGTATGAACACGACAACGACGAAACCAGAAAATTCATCCCTCTCTGTGGAGATGCTATCTGCAAGGAGTCACTATGACCGGAAAACAGCCATCGCAACGGGGTTCAAATAAATCGCAACACATTGAACTAGCTGTGCGACCAACACAGATAAGGACAGCTGCTATTCGCCATGCTAGTAAATGTCTGAAAACTGGGTTCTGGTAATCGCTTGGATATAAAAGGATAGCCCAGTGCTTCGCAGGGAGCCTCTATACAATGTTTAAGGGGCCATTTTAACTCTCCTGCCCAAGATGCTGCCCATAATCGTGAATCTGCTTGATTGAAGGCAACAAGAAGCTGCCTATAATCGTGAATCTGCCTTCAATCCAGCGTGCTCAGTCTAAATAAAAGAAAATTCCATGACAGATCGTGAGCGCTGGTCGGTCGGCTCTATGGCAGCGCGAAGCATCGTTTGCGTTGGCCCACGATGCACACAAAATTCACCAGTACATCAGAACTATGGNTGGCAGCGCGAAGCATCGTTTGCGTTGGCCCACGATGCACACAAAATTCACCAGTACATCAGAACTATGGAAATTCGCGAAAAGCTAGTTGAGCCGTTTCATCGCCAGCCGTGTAAACACAACGCAAATTAAAATTTCTGGCAGACAACAGAATATGGCCTTACATCCCTTTTCTTCGTGGTATAAGAGCGTTGGTAGGCTCATACTTTGAGATCAAGCAGTGATGTAACAGAATAGACTTTACTAAAGCTTGCTAACACCTCTCATTAACTGCTCTTCATTGAAGCCACGGGAACCGCCTTGCATGCCTAGGATATGGCTCCCGAGTGCAAAGCCTCTTTACCGATGTGTAGGCTCGCCTCTCTGTGCGTTTTTAACCCGCGGGACTGTCACGCGTGTCGGCTGAAATGTTGTTAAATGGCTGTCCATGGGGCCCATGTTGTTGCTCTCACCCAGTGAATATCCAATGCGCCTTTACTCAGGAAGGCATGAACGTACGAATCTGAGGTATAAAGTGGCTACAGTTGTGTTTCAAATACACCGGTGTCTACCGCAAAAAAGCTCGATAGAATTCT